TATATATATATATATATATATATATATATATATATATATACATATATACTTAATTCTGTCCTGCTGCGTCGCAGGTTCATCTTTTTAATCTAAAGCCTTTGTTGGGGACCCCAAGGTGAATCGCGTTCTTCGACCTGGGCGTTCAAGAAGAAACCCCTTCGCAACTTATGAACACCCTCAAAAGAGCTGTATCACCGTCAGTTTTCTTGCAAATATACGAATACTCCAGCCGTATGAATAGCTTCGTCGTTTCCTGCTCGGGTGCTGTTTAACCTTGTATGTCTGGTCAAGGGGAGAGCTGTAATATGTTATGTTCACTAAGCCACCGTTAAACTGTCGCTTACTTTATGTACCAAGCGTTCGAAAAAGATTTGTGCTTCAACTTGTTGCCCGTCCACTTTTATTCTCACCTCCAAGTCTTATATACAGCGCTATGTAGCCTTTCACAAGTGCGATTCTCCTAGCTTCCGGTCACCCTTCTAAGTAGTTCATAGCTATGGAATATTTTTAACTGCCTCGCCTTTTGTTCAGCCTATAGCATCACCATACATATATTAAAAACCAACAGGCTAGTTGTGTTTCCATGTAAAATCCACTGTCCGGTAATGGGTTTATTTTCTTCGTTGTAATCATGTTTTCCATTGAGCTTTTTCAATGCGTCCAATTCCACGTTCTCATCCGTACTTTATCATAGCAGAGAACCTTCAGATAGCCGAAACAAAAATGTTTGGTTTCGTGATTGTGACCGCACAAGGCAAAAATATTTTCATCCTACTCGCAGTAATCGAAGGTTATGGAACTAGTATTATCGCTTCGGTTCTTTACGCATATCTTTGTTACACGGGAGGTTTTGTTTATCAATTATTGTGAAAGCGTTTAGTCTCATTGGTTGATCTGATTTTTTCGGAGTATTTCAATTTTCCGAACACAATATTGACGGTAAAACTAACGAGTAAAATATTTTTTAATGTGTTCCTTATAAACACTAATCCACGCGCTTCCTCCCAGGCCGTAGAAGTCGATCTCCTACAAGATTGGATTAAATCTCCACGGGTTGTTACCATTGTCCATTCCGCTGATAAACGACAAAGCGCGTAAGTCACGTTCTGACTTGACCCCTGTTTACCCCCGAGTACCCTTTTGGGTAATGCTATTTTCCATCATTTTAAATTTCTTAGCTTTCAGACAAACCGTATGCCTGTATTCGAATAACATCTATCCGCGCTAAATGGATTTGCGATTTCGATTTGTGTATGTGAGAAGGAGAATGGACTGGGTAGGACTGGGTACGCATGCTCACATTTCTTAGGGTGAATGATCGTCGACACATTTTCGCCATCAACTAAATCACGGGATTCCAATTAGGATTTTTTCCACGGTAATTCATGGTCTATTCGAGTGTTGGGCATGACATCTAGGCGTTTAAACACTTGAAAATCGTTGCAGCACTTCATTCGGGCCGGCCTCCCGTTCCTGTTTGTCATTGCTCTGACCGAATAAAGGAAGATACAACAATTATGATGTTGTTCCTCCGCCATTTAACTGAAAACCATCAGCCATACTAGAATTTACATTGATATGAAGTGATAAAAGCCACTTGTCTTTTCTAAGTTGTGTTGTTTCGGCAGATGATTGAGTTGAATTTACACGTGTTTGGAGCCGTTGTGGAGTTCGATCCCAAACATACTCTCAGCCTATGCTTCGGTGGAACGCATCCTTCTCTCTCTGTCGTCATTCATGCTGACGTACCATCAAAGATGCTTCCACTTTGATCTGGTTGGCTCAAAATCCTGACTCAGACCAGGGTGAAACACAAACAGGTACACTATCTTTTGCTTACTAACTCACTACCGAAAACCCATTTGGATGATTTCTACTTTGCTCAATATTAGTCTTCTCTCTCGGTGATTCAGGTGACCAATCCCGTTTACGAAGCGGGATTTACACTTATTGGTGTGCAACGGAAAAAGGCTTCCGTATTAGGAACGAAAGGTAGCTTAAGCATGATATCTGAAGTTCTTTTATTTCCGGGGAAGCGGAAACTAACATTTCTGACTTTCCTAGAGTTCACTGTTTTTACTTCCAAACTTTGGTTATATATAGATAGAGATAGACAGTGGTCAGTCGCTCGCAAAACATGACTGAGCCGTTGGTGGCGGTGTTGAGTCTATGCTTCTGTTAGAGCACCACTATCAGTACCCAGCACATGATACCGAATTTCGTCATTGCCCACCTGATGTTTCCACGGGATATGAGTAAAGCTTTGGAGCATTTCGAAATGTCGATAAGCATCCTCAGCTCGGAGAGACCAGGTCTCGCCGCCTTAAAGCAGAACACTACGAACCTTGACTATGTACATCCTTCGTTAAGGGACAGTCGGATGTCATGGTGGTACCACAGGTGTCGCACGCTGGTAAAAACTGCTAATAATGATGTGATCCTTTCTCTTATTTCACCTGAGGTTATGATTATGCTCCCGAGGTACTTATGGCTGTCGACTATTTATGGTGTGTATAAGTGACCCCCACAAAGGAAGACATTTTTCTCGCCTGTTACTGCCACTGCAATCACTACTGGTTTGATTAGGTTAGTCTCATGTAAGATTTATTTTCACATTCGGAATCCTGACAATAAGGAGACCAGTATTAATAACGTGGTAGATATATACTTTCTCACACAGGCAGACATACACTATGACTCGCTTTTTCCACATGATATGGCGATTTCGGGTTTGTCAATACACACAATCGTCAGCATTGGGTGTATTGGAGCATTTAATCTTTATCATTTATCCAAATCACAAAACTTTATCTAAGAATCGGGTCGATTAATATGAATGAATTATTTGTTTGTCAGTGTCCACACGCTTGTGTCTGTGTGTATGTTTTATTCTGTGGTTTAGCTGTGTGGGAAAGCTGATGATTTCATGTTTTAATCAGGATCGTTTTTTTAAGCGCCTCATACAGTGTCAGTATAATTTCGTNTAATTTCGTATGTACCTTAACGAATCTCTCTCCGTATTACTCTCTTTGACTCAATTGTAGGCTATTTTTATGCATTGGCTCTCAGATCTCCAAAGGCGTGTATTTGGATTTGTCGGCATCGGAATTGATCGCTTTGGATGATGTATTTCGAGCTGAGCGGGGTAAGTGCTAGACAAAAAGAGAGGTTAGTAGTAAGGGAAGTCGAGGGTGTGCTAAAGAGACATTATTTCAATATCAGTTGTATTTGATCCATAAGCCTAACTCAAAAGTGCCTTGGAGCAATGGCTAAACACAGTCATGCCGCATATGCTTTCTAGGGTAAACGTATTCTTAACTACTCATGAAATTTTTTATACTTTTCTTATTCAAACATAAGACAGAATCGACTGAAAACACTTTTCCGGTCACAAATTCGAATGTAGAAGTCAGAAACATGAGTTTGCACAATGCATCCATGGTCATTTCGCTGCAGCTGTCTTTTTTTAATTATTACACACCACAACAGCAGGCGGGGCGGACCCCATAGCGACGAAGACCTGCTATTCGGTGATCGTAACCGGTAGCCTGATCCCTTGGACTTGGATTGACGAACCGCATACGGTCCCGCTAGGTCAGGCGTGGTATAGAACCGGGCTACATTTGGGTATTGCAGTCAAATTGATTTTTTATAGTCACTCAGATAATTAACGTGATATGAGGACAAGATCAACTCACCAACACTTACCGAAGTGTTGGAAATCATCTTTTACTCAATGTGTGTGTGTGTGTGTGTGTGTGTGTGTTATACGACTAGCTAGAGAAGTAATGATTGAAGATTTCATAGTTAAAATCAAGGGGATAGTGGATGGGTGTTCCCAGTCTTTGTAAGAGAAGTGCCCATGGGGGATCGGCAACACATTAAATAATTTCGGGTCATTAATCAATCAAGACAAGCATCGAGTCTGGTAGGGAAAGTTATCAACTTTCTGCAGCCCATGGTAGTCAAAAAAAGGACATCAAACCTAGTGAAGCCATCACATACGATGCAAAGGTGAGTCTACATAATTTGGTAATGAAGTGGCAAACAAATTTGTGAACCCAATAAAATGGTCAGTGGGATAAAAATGATAAATGTAAATTGACGGTCCGGTAATTACTGAGCTGCTTAGGTCTGCACTGGTATAGGGAAGTACTGATGAAAACAGTGTAATACACAGAACTCGTCTGCCTGGACTGCACTAGTGGTTGTTTGTGTGCGAAACGCCCCCCCTCATGTTTTCTAATCTAAACTTCTCGATCAACCTGGCAGACAACGTTGACGACGTTGTCATCAATTTCATCGTGGAACCATCTTTCCTGAAGCATCATGACACCGAATTGTGAATGTTTTTGTCTACTTGTCAGGTCTTTTACTTTTATCGTATTTCCAAGCAGAGAGCGCACATTTCTACTTCGCTGAAATGCAGATACGTGAGACGAACCGTTTGCGCAACGCTTCCTACCCAATGTTCTCCAGGAGATTCTTTGACCTTTCTTTAGATTCTTCTCACTGTTACGAACTGATTTTTCAAACGACAACTAGTGGTCGAAATTTTGAAGGTACTTCATAAAAACAGCAGAGTAAGGCATAACATTTAGAATGACTTTCATCGCACAACGTTTCTATAGCAACGAAAGACGTGTATCATAGATTTAATCTAACGAAGAATGATTATGTTCGATAATGTTGCGAACCGCGAGGCCGAATCGAAAAACCCTACCTCGTTATTGATCTATCATAAACGTCAGACAGCCCAACGGAACGCTCACACCCTGTCTGGTGAGTCATCTGAGTCCGGGGGCTCACTCTGTTTACAGCTTTTCTTTTCGGTTCTCCTCCCCAAGTTGAGTTTTTCGGCCTTTGGTTGTTGCAATCTGTCGAAATCGTATTGTTGACGGGGCCTTCGAATTTCGGCCTTGCTATATTTGTGGTCCAGTTTATCAACGTTTACGACGCACATTTGATTTAATTGTTTAAGTCAAGTTTTTTTCGTCGCTTTCATGATCACGTACTCCCCGGAATCTTTAAAGAATTTGAAACATTAAGTTATCACTCAAGAGTTGCATTCCTTATCAGCTCAGTCGTCAAGTTAGATACGGAAATTACCGACCGTCTAGGTCAGGTTTCCTCAGAAAAGATCGAGCAGACTTGCAAGCGGCTTTACGTAACACAAAACCTCTGAGAATGCCTATCCCTGCTATTTGCTCATCAAACGTGTGATCACTATTTGGAAACATGAGCGACTTCAAGAATTTGATAAGGATGAAAAAATACCATGCATTTGAGATAATTTTGCTGCGAGAAACGTGGTTGCATCTTGCCATCAACGACTCTTTGGTTGAGCTGGATTTCTTTGTTATGCATCGTTTGGATAGAAACTGTTTACTACGAAATCGGGGTGGTGGTCTAATAACGTACACCAAATCGTCTTGATGTAAGTCTATGAAGATTATCTTCACCTACAACATAGGATATTTCTGGTGTATTTCGGTTGAATGTAAACCCCGTTTTCTTAGTAAATATCGTTCCATCGTGGCATCAAACATCTGCATAGCACCCTCCAGTACAACTTCTGATGTACAGACGTTTGCTGATGAGTTTATGCCCTAACTTTCTAACCACACGAAATGCTGTCTTTTTATTGTTTGGTGGTGATTTTAACCATGCAGATATTCATTTCTCGACTTATCACTCTTCGCAATCTTGTAAATTTCTCCACAAGAGGAAACGCACAGCTTGACCTTATGGTTTCCAACAATCCTGACCTGTTTGCTGAGCGAAGAGGGACCCCTCTAGCGAACTCCGATCATTGTATCATAAATGTTTTGCCAAAACTCTATTCAGAGCAATTCTATCCCCTTTTCTCTTTCTGTATTCGAGACCTACTCACTGAGCCAGATGATCTTATTGAGTATGCTGATGATGTCACCATAGGTTCCAAATTCTAAGATGATTTCCGCCTCTCACAGCTCCAAACTAGTTTATCTGCCCTAAGCTTATGGTCTTCATCTTCCAAATTATCTCTCAGTGGCTCTAAATGTAGGGATGTTACCTTCTCGCTAGCCAAAAGAGAACGGCTACATTCTTTTGAAAGAAATTGTTCTGTGCTCTATGTTGACAACCTGCCTGTTCCTCCAGTACATTCTCTGCAATACCTTGGGGTCACTATCTCCTAATATCTCTCCTTAAATTCACATTTATACTCTACTTTTAGAAAGATTTGATGATTGTTTTTATTTCCCGCTTGCTTTTTTTAAAAGTTCCACTGTATTTAATCATCCGATTTGTATATTCTTGTATTGTTACTCATCTTCTCTACTGCTTCCTAGTTTTAGTTGCCGGTCTTAGAGTTAAAGATTACACAATTCTTCTATTAAAATTATTTCTGGCGCAAGTGATATTCCCCATTTGCCTTTGCTTAACTTTATCGCCGACAAACATTTTACCCCTTGCAAAAACGTCTGCAACAATATTCTAGCAGACATCACTTACCCATTACACGCAGAACATAAACAATGCTTATCCACTTCTGTAACGGGGTGTCATTATAAATTTGTGTATGCTCGTACCACTGACTACCGTTTGTCCGTTATCCCATATATTTCGAGATTTCTGGCACAAAAGGCATGTGTTAGAGAAAACGTTTTGAATTTACTACGCAAGTGATATCCATTTTCGAACTTCTAAACCGTATTCTTAAATTTACGATGTTGTATTTTACTTTTTCTTTATGACTGTATGCGATGATAAATGATCCTGGAGTGCAAGAAGCTGAGAATCCATCCAATAAGATGAATAAAGCGATTTTTGACTTGACTTTACCTCCGTGACACGAGTAGGGGCAGGATGTCTGTCGGCAGCAATACTACTGTTGTAAATCCACGAGACGAGGAGAGTTATTTATTTGAAGAGCAGCATCGGGTAGAGGTAAATAAGGTTACATAAAACGAGACATCTAATTTGCCGTAATTGATTAATATTTTCGTAATGATTTCTTCATCGGTGATTGCCGTTCTGATGGTTTGCTTGTCTCTTGCCAATCGAGCGTTCTTTCTGCGAAACGATACTTCATCCGTGATGCGTTCACCAGTTAAGACACAGCTGCCCAAGTAAAAAAATTGTCCACTTGCTTTATTACTTCCCCAGTTAGAGTGAGGCAGGGTGCTGGACCAACCCAATCTTGTGGGAACATCTTACACTTTGAAGGTGCAAAACGCATATCGAGCATGGCTACACGGACACTCAAACTGTCTAAAAAAGCTTACAACTTACCTGGATTTTCAGCTACCAGTACAATGTCGTCTGCCAGATGAATGTAAATATGTCTGAGGGGAACGGCTGTATGAGGACTGGGGTTTAGAAAAGCAAGAACCTGTGGAATTCTTACCTATCAACGTCAAGCATGAAGAACTTGAGCCCATGGACTGTTAAAAGTGCATAGTTGTGTGCCACTCAGCCGCCTGGTCCTGAGAATGCATTCTAGCTTTTGTGCAATCAAGCATGAACTGTAAGGCGACAACGGTGTTCCAGTTTATCTGGTGGTCACTTGCCTGGTTCATTAACGTCTTCTAAAGAACTTAGTCGNGGAACTAGACAATAAGTAACGATCATATGCTGGGGCGGGTGGCGCTCTCTTCAGATATGTGGTGTTTTGTGTGGAGAACCCTTTCCAAGTGGTAATTCCACCACATCCTGGAGCACTGCCGCTAATCGTCCGCGAACACTTATTCAGGTCCACCTTCACGGTTAGCTGGCAATCAGCGGTCGTTCCCCTATCCGTGACCTGGTGACTCTCTTGGTAGCATACAACTCTGCTGTTCCATGATTCGTTTGCAAAGTGGCCGTCTAAGTGATCCTTCGGTTCTGTTAAAAACAATGAACGAACATTCTATCAAAGTTTCAATAATGGTATTGATTACAAGCTCATGGTTCTCTTGTCACATATGATATTTCCACAATTCGATCATTCCTCAGTGAATAAGAGAAATGTCACATATTGTTTCGGGTATCGAAACCTTACACGATGCAGCCTTTTTCCACTGTTTTACGAGGTCACTACTGCTGGAATGTGAGGTGCTATATCTCGTGAAGTCTCTGCTTGAGAGATTCAATAGTTGGCACACAAACGACGTGAGACGAGCGAGCTTTCCAAGTGATGCACACTTGCGGCATAAGATTGTCACCGGTATTGAAGCTGACATATTTAGAGTAGTAACTTGAAAGGACGTTCCCTGATGTGAATGTTGGTCGACAATGTAAACAGTAGATGACGTGGATAATTTGGGTTGTGTTCTGCAGTATTCGATACCCCAAAATCTGGTCTCCTCGAATTTGATTGTACTGAATTTAATATAATCTCAATGGTTGTAATCTATATACTGAAGTGAGTGTGTTTGGGAAAACATAAATTTCTGCATTTAGCTCTACATAGATTTCGACAAGATAGATCGTGCACCACCAGTCTGATCCTTAGCTGAAACGAATGCAGTTGCGGCTGAATGTGGTTTATTTGGACATTCCCACAGAAAAAAAACTTAGTCACCCGTTCGATTTTGAAATTCACTAACGGACTAATATACACGATACAGAATGGAATCTATTATTGCGGACCGTAAAAGAAGTGATTTGATCGGAATGTTTTGTCTCTTACATATTATACTTTGTCAACGTTTTTAAAGAAATATCTAATTAGAACATTATGGAAACACAATGGCAACAACCTCGATGTTTTCTTTCCATGTTTATTTTCGAACAAGCTTTACGAAATCCGGCGCTCAGTGTGCTTTTTCCTCCACCTCATCGTCTCGTACAGGCCCATCGACCACGGTCCGTATCACTGGAAGACGATTGACCAAAGCACGTCATCCCCATCGAACGCATAAAATTAGTCTTCGAGTGATTCGGTCGAATGAGACTGAAGATTCGGAACAATCGCACATGGTGGATCGAGCGAATGGAGACAAACCGAATGGACGTTTGGAACATAATGATTCGGATGAACCAACCACCCCGGTCGGGGCGTTCTATGTTCAGAGAAAATCTTCACCAAATTCCTGNATTCTGCCGTCGGAGAAACACAATTCCTTAATTTCCGATGGCTTGACTTCTTTTGAATTTCCCCTTCAGTTTGAAACCTAATTCTAGAATTACGCATGTGGAACACATCAGCTGTTCCCTTTTCTTAGCATACGTACTTTAATTTACCACGGTTGAAAAGAAAAAGAAAAGCCGGTCTCATGGATATCCCGAACTGCCCCTAACCACGCTCGGCGATCTACAGGCCTGCACTGTATGACTTCCAGCAATGAGTGCTAGCCACGAAATAAAGACCGAGATGTTTTAAGTCTTTGTGTTCAGTGTCCAGTCCAGATTTCAGCTGTCCAACACGGTGATAGTGCCAATTTAGCCAGCAAAACAATCCTAGGGCGGTTTTAGTTAGGCTATTATCTGGTTCGCACAGATCGTGCCCAAGCCGCTGTAAACTTCTCCGGTGTATGTGTGTGTGAGAGAGAGATTTTCAGGGATACAGAAAGAACTGACGGACTGCTACAGCTAATAATTGTAGTTTTGTCGACAAGCTGTTTGCATTTCTGCACCACTGTATTTTTCAACTACAGGAATATCTTCTTGGCGCAACATGTGTATAGTGGGATTTTTTCCATGCTTTATTTGTTGGATAATGCGGCGAAGCCAAGGTACTAAGCAGATTCGACCTGTTCACGTTATGCCTCTAATTTTGCGAAAACCATCGCAGTATCAGTTTGATCCCGATCGTCCCCGGTCGTACTTCGACTTCTGACTCCTTTAAGAGAGACCAATATCCGTGAGCAGCAAGCTCGATTCCTGCCAGGCCGTGGATGTATTGATCAAATTTTTACGTTGCGTCAGGTCATTGAGCTGCGTCACATCCACCGTCGACCATCGTTTGCAGTATTTCTTGACCTGAAAGGAGTCTTCAACTCAGTTGACTACGAAGCTCTGACACGTTCCCTTCGAAAAGAAATGCCATGGAAGTACCTTAACATATTGAGGTCACTGTACTCATACCTCCGGTTGTGTATGGGTTTACGACGAACTGAGTAAGCCGTTCGTCACGGATGCCCTCTTTTGCCGTTCCTGTTCAATTTCATCGTAGACGAAATACTGGAAAACGCACTAAATGGACTCCAAAACGTAGGCATTTAATGATCAGATGGAGAAAAACTGTGCGATTTGGTACGTTGATGACATCGTCTATCTTTTCGAATGTATGAAGGACGCGCAAAGCAGGCTTGATAGACTAACAAATACAGTTGCCACATTCAGTATGTGCCTTGCACCTTCAATCTGCAAATTGTTGCTGCACGACTGAATTTCATCTACTCCCGCGCCAAGGCTAAATGGTCAGGAATTAGTTACGGTGGATTACTTTCCTACTCAGGTATTTGCGTGACCAATGACGGTAGCGCAGCGACGGAGAAAACCGCCAGCATTTCCAAGGCTCGAAGAGCATACGAAGGACTGAAACGCTTTTGGCGTAGATGTGACGTTTCACAGAAGTTGAAAGGTCTTGTTTATCGTGCCGTCGTTCGTTCAGTTCTACTTTATGTTTGTGAGACCTTGAACTTGCGAGTAGAAGATATCCATCGATTAGGAGCTTTAGCTTATCGGTGCTTACGCAGTTGAGCCCACGTAGGATGGAGCGAACAGGTTAGTAAGCCGTCGTGTTTTGGGAGTTTATCAGGGATAAACCAGCTAGCACACCGAATTCAGATTAGTAGGCTTCACTGCCTAGGGTACTTATTGCGTATAACCAGCTGTCGTCTGCCGCACCGCGCTTTATTCGCTGTAGCTGCTCCGGGCTGGAGAAAAGCACGCGGAGGTCAACAGATGACGTGGAGACGAGGCATGAAGAAATGCACAGAGCTATTAGGTAGAGTAGGTGTCTCGCGCCTTCCGAAAGATTCCACAACTGGTCGTTTGCAGACATTGAAGGATATGGCAGCCAACTCACAGCAGTGGCGTTCTTGTCATTTCTTATCAGGCCGAATGCTTGAAACGGTATGTATCCGGAGTTTGATTGCGTACTCTGTGTGTTGACCATAGAGGTTCACCTTCTCTCACTCTCGAAATAGGTCTGATCCCTGTCGACCCTAAATATTACCACTAATCTTGTGTGCATCACGAGTTTAGCAGCGATCAGGGAAGTTTGCTTCACTGTATGATGATGGTGATGATGTTTCTGAGTATATCAATGATTTAACTATTTGAGTGGTGACCCCTTGGGTAATTTTGGAGAGCTGCCGACTGCCGTAGATTGCGATTTATTGGAAATCGGATACATTTTTACAAAGTACACCAACCTCAACAAGTTCTAAATAATTGTCCCCGAATTTCGGAGCATTCGGAACTATTTGATATGCTTCCTCGAGGCGATCCATTATGAAATCAACGGCAAAGTTGAAGAACGTTGGGGCTAATTAGCATTCTTGTCGCACTCATCTTAAATCCAGCTAGATCAATCAAGTGTACAGCGAAGCTGTACGGGAATGATGACGTTGCGTCCTGTTCGAAGACGGGTTTCTTTATACTAACTGAAATGCTAAGATACGTACTGTACAAATTTCAACTCCACATTTCCGATTTCTCCAGGTCCGTACTCAAGCTAAATCCGTTTGATACCAAAGGTTTTTAGATATTTACAACGTGTGCTCCTGCATATTGTATCTTCCGTTTACTCTGAAGCAGTATTGATTGATCCGCTTTTCATCAGGAACGTGTAATTCACATGCGAATGTAAAAATGCGACAGTTTTATTTATGACCACACTAGACAGAATCGATTCGAATCACATGCTGATGTTCATACGTCTTTTGAATGTTTGTTGCAATTTGTTGTTTCACGTGATTTTCCGATTTGATCGGGTAATCAGTCCCAATAATACCGTGCCGAGTTTTGCATGCCAACATGCTCTTGATCGTACTTTTTTGCGTTACTTCTCCAATTTTTGGTTTCCTTTCGCGTCCCTTTCATTATCTCTCGCTGGCTTCACTCTGGAATCACTTCACCGTGTCTTTTTTTGTTTATTTCAACACGTAACTAATTACAGAGAACTGGCAAATGTGCCACAACATATGAACATAAAGGAAGCCGTAGAACGTGTTCATCGGTTGTGTCGGTCTGTTAGTTCTCGGTTGCCCCAACCGAAAAAGGGGGATGGCCTCGAGGTCTTCATTCGAAGCCTCTTGCTAGAATGCCAGATCGGCATGACAACAGGACGGAGCACAGAGTCCATTGGGGGTCGGTGTCCATTCACTGGATCATACACCTTTTGGACGGGGTCAAACCTCCAAGGTGCCCAATACACCTTAATGCCCAATTGGGCCGGTGACCACTGGCCCAACCAGAAAGGCGTGTGTGTGGTTCGTACATCTCTTCTTGGTTGGTTTGGAATCATGGTTTTTAGCCAACTCCCCTAGGTGAACTGCCAATGGTTCACCAACCCGGTTATAGCCCCATATGTTGGCTTTTCGTCCTCTCACCTTAGTGCCAAAACACCGCCACAGGAAGGCAGTAAATAGGGCTTCCTCAGCAGAGGCTGTTCAAAACGCCTGGTCATGTAGAAGCATTTCGCGCGGGGCACCGTAAGACGAGAACCAAAATCGGCGCACGAAAGTGAAAGTGGTTTGAAAATCTGAACTGAGCAAATTTCGCGATGTGTAAGGGAAAAGTGACTAACTAAAATCCGAGACACCCAGCCCGACCATAATTCCGGTCTAATGAAATGTATTTACAGCCTTGAATCAGACAAGGAAGTAGTCAATAACTGCTATTTGAGGCGGAAATACGATCTATTGGCATAATAAATCCGATTT